GCATGTAATTGATATGAACTGGGGTTACTGCTGCCATGTTATTCCATAATTATTAAAGAAAGGTTCTCCCCCAAATTCTTCTGTATCTCTCCGCCTTTGCCTCTTCACTGGCAAAATGCTTGTCACATCCACAAGCAGCAGGCTTTCCACATCAGAACTCTGCAAGCGAACAGCTGATCGTTACTGCTGTCTGGTGCGCTGCAATATGTTAATATTACAGCCCCACCGCCATCACCACCACCACCAAACATACAGCAAGACAAACAGAATTGTGTTCGGCGACTTCGCAACCCTTGCCGCAAGGCTTGCTATATCAAAACTCTATACCCCTTCATCCTGCCTTCGTGTTGTACTTTTCACTTCATCCGGCTAGTTAAAGTGTTTGTCTGTATACACAATAAGACTGATCAGCAGTAGCCCTATCACCGGGCAAAACACTGGTTTCCCCTACATGTATAGACATTGTATGACTTTCTAGTCCAGTTGACTATGTTTGTATAGTTTAGGAATTCTAATATCTACCTTTACCGAGTGAATTTCCTTCCTCTTAGTATTTTTCCAAATATCTTCACCGCCCTCTGGAGCCCGTTCGAGCATGACCATGGAAATCATGTGCTTTTCTTGCTGTTTAACTCATTGCCGCGCTACTCTTCCCGAGTCCCGTTTCGAAGCTGACCATTTCAGGTACGTGTACATTGTGGTGTAAGCTTGACTGAGAATTATCAACTTTTTCCTTCCTTTCGAATCCAATTTTATCTTCTAACCTCAGCCTACGTGTAGGATGCCTTATTTTGACCCCAGTTAGGCATAGCAATGTGTCTATGATTCATACGCCTATATTGTAAATAACAGTAGTGACGGTTTTGTTATGCTGCTGTTTAATACCGTAAACAGTGTCTGTTCGCGTGCTCCCCCGATATGCTTCGTATAGGTTGGTGTTTCTGTGTGTGTGTGTGTGTGTGTGTGTGTGTTCGCATGTGCGTGTTCGCATGTGCGTGTGTGTGTTCGCATGTGCGTGCGTGTGTGCATGTGTGCACGTGTGTGTTCATGTGTATGGGCGTGTGTGATGCTTTAGGAGCACACACATATACTACTCTACTAACAAGGGATGATTTCCCCGCACACTGTTGAGCACTTTATTAGAGATTGTGGACTTTGTGGTACCTTCTGCCTGGTTTGCGGGGAGGGCGGTGCTCAATCTCATCAGGTTGTTCTAGACCGCGGCGGCATTCGCAAGTCAGTGCACGAGAGCAATCTCCAGCGATACTCAGTGAGGAGCAGACAACTTCATCCATTTTCGGAAAGACACATTGCTTACGTGTTTGCTGAGTGGGAGGTGCTGAATCCCATGCGTCTGCCATGCTCCTATTATTCTGTTTGGGACTGACATGATACTCATTTCGCGGCTCGCTTACCTCGATCCCCGGTACATGTATGTAACAAGATCTTTACAATGCTTGTAGGCTTATTCTTCATATGTATGATCCAGCCCAGCAGTGAGGGTGAGAAGGCATTGGTGCCTGTTCATTGATTCCATGACCCAGTGAAACCAGGGAGTAGTACAACACCATATTGTACTACTCCCTGAGTGAAACTGAGGATAATCATGTCAGGACTCAGGCCCGGCGAAACCGGTGCGGTTGGTCAGGCCATGGCCGGACCAACTTTTGACCGTCCAACATGTGTGTACTCGGCTGAGTACTAGTAGGTCAGGCCAACCCGTCATATCATACACAAAGTATGAAAGACTAGGGTATGGCGGACCAATCAAAAACCACTTCCGCGCGGTTGGATCTAGGAGTTCCGCTGCACTCTGTCTGTGTGGTCGGAGGTCTACGAATGGTCGTACAGTTGGTTACATCATAATAATACATTGTAGTGTCGAAATTCTAACCGCTACACACGGATGTGCCGCCATGGCTTAGGGGTTAAAGCGCCTGTCTAGTAAACAGGAGATCCCCGGTTCGAATCCGGGTGGTGGCTTTTTTTTTCTTCGGTCTTTTGATTTTCGGAGAAAGTCGTTCAACTCCGCAGGGTAGATCTACGCGGAGTACCGCCGGATACACCCGCCAGCCAACACCATTTTCTTTTCTTTTTTATTGATGAGCATGTTACATTCCGTCAGCAAGTCGATGCCCTGCGGAAGAAGTTCAGTGCAAAGTAAAGTTAGTTGAATGCATTTCGGCGCTGCCCGGCGCACCGTGTTGACCCGCAATGAAGCCAGGCGCACTTTTTATCCCTCTTTCGTCCAGTCTACACTAGCCTCGAAATAATGCAAGCAAAGCTTATGTACACAGTCTTCGACAACATGAATCTGATTCTCTCACCGCGGCGCATCTCTCGCCGTTCATTGCGTACTGTATTTGGCTACCCGCCCACCGCAGATGTTCAGTCTCGAAACAACCTGACACCGATCACAATCCGTTTCTCCCTTAGCCTGTATCTTCTTGTATTTAGATGCGTTCGTTCCTGTGCGCATATGCCGGTGCACTTTTGTGCCGCCTTTTCTGCCTCTTCTCTCTCTCTCTCTCTCTCTCTCTCTCTCTCTCTCTCTCTCTCTCTCTCTCTCTCTCTCTCCCTCCCTCCCTCCCTCCAAACACCGCCCCACATTCTGTCAGTCTCTCTCTCTCTCTCTCTCTCTCTCTCTCTCTCTCTCTCTCTCTATCTCTCTCTCTCTCTCTCTCTCTCTCTCTCTCTCTCTCTCTCTCTCTCTCTCTCTCTCTCTCTCTCTCTCTCTCTCTCTCTCTCTCTCTCTCTCTCTCTCTCTCTCTCTCTCTCTCTCTCTCTCTCTCTAAGTTACTCTTAGGCCACCCTTTCTTTTTTCGTTGTTTAACGTCCGCGCCCGCGTACCTTTTTGCCTCCGACCGGGAAAAAAACAAGAAAGTAGTAGTACCAATAATATGCGAAGTTGTAAATACATGATTGTGTAGTTTCACAGTGTGCCGATCATGACCTTAAACTTATATTCTTGTCTCCCGGGCATGCCTTTGTCTTGTGTTCTTTTTCTTTTTTTGTTGGCTTTTAAATATCGTACGGTGTGTGTCCTAGTAAAAATCCAGATGTAATGAATTCATGACATGCTAACTCCATGCTATGTACCTGTTTTGTTGGATTCATCAGGCATGTGCTCCAATGTACCATCAAAGAGTGTTGTTCTATGCCTGCAAGTGCCGTTAGACCCAGAAATATTGTATATATCACATGCTTTACTGGTCAAAATGTTTGATTGGGGTTTCCAGTTTTTGGAATGGGCTTTTGTTTTTTTTCCGCCCTCCCGCGTACCTTTTCGCGAAAAAAAGGACGTTAAACAATGAATTAACAAAGGGTGGCCTTAACTTGATTCACAAGTCTCTTCCCTTTCTACATTGTTTCATAGGTTCTGGTTGTTTGCAATTCATTTGAAGAGAATGCCCGAAACTGGTTTATGAATTTCGGAGTCCCAAGTTAAGATGATGGTGATGAATACTAGCAAGAGTCCATAAACAGATTTGTAGTTTTTCTGATACGCTTCCTGTTTGCGAGAACGTTTTTAATTGCTGTGAGTTCACAACATAAACGGAGCGTTCTATTCATTGCAATTTTAAGAAACATGCAGTGTACATGACTGAACACCATTGCCAGTGTAGGGACCCAGATCCCCTGGAACCCTTGTGCAAAGGATGTCCACCCCTCAGTTCCCACAACTTACACAAGTACAATGTACAGTTGTCTTAGGTCCTCAGGCTGTGTACAGTACATGTATACAGTGCTCTATGTCCAGTGGACAGAGCTAGTAATACAAAGATTACACAGCAATGAATCGAACAAATCTTTTTCAAGTACAATGTACTGTATGTACATGACTAATGTCTTTACTCCCCGTGCTACCATAGCCTAGCCAGTCCATAGGCATAGGGCATAGCCATAGGGGTCTGGCAAGAGCAGTTTATTCGCTGGACAATCATAGTCATGTCTACTGTAGATCGATTCCGGTCATTGTCAGTCTCTGCACACATGCACAGTCACTTGTGTCTCAAGTAGTGCACTTTCAGATCAGGTACGAACTCAAGTGTACTAAGAGATCACCATGCCCAGGACATACTCATTGCTCATTTTGTCCAAAACTCTGATAGTGATACAGTACCTCAGACCTCTGAGACGTAGCCCCATGTGGCGCAAGAAAGACTATAAGTGTACATAGCATCCGAGCTGCAATGTACATAATTATACATGTACATGCACTTGCTCAACATATTTTCAGTCTGGATTTCTTCCGACCATACCCCTCCCCCCCCCCCCCCCTCATTATAATACGTATATTGTACAGTGTGATTGTGTTGTTTTTGCCCATAAAGGAAAACGCTCAGTGTCAGAAAGAAAGAGGTCCCACAAAAGAGGTTGTATACTTACGGTACACTGCAAAACATGTTCTAGATGAAATCATACGACCGTGTTCCGGACAATGTCTGTGCAAGAGTATATCAACACAACAGTTTAGCTACATGACTGTATCACTAAAATAATTATCAGAGCAGAGTTTACCATGGGTTACATGACCGACGCTTGACCGTACATACGGAGATCCATCCTCCGTATCCCTGCTTAGATCTTGGGTTCATCATTCGAACTGTAGATCTACATGTACATAATCATCCGCATCATCCGTCCGCGCCAACCCACCGGATCAGGATCGAGATGAAACAAGGCGCACTCGCCCACCCACCGATCAAACCGACCACATTGCCCACTCGAGAAAGCATTCAATCCACCTACACAAAAGGTGACAGGCGTGCAGCACTTTACGATCGATATCATGCAGTCTGACTGCAGTGATTTATGTACGCGAAGCGAAGGGAGGCAACATGTCCTATTTGAATCTCCACGGGAACCGATAGCACACCGATCGAAACGGCGGAAAGCTACGACTTGAGTAAATCTGTAATAACACACGGACAGACAGTCACACTGCTAGCATTTGACACGTTCGACCTTCCGGTTGCGTGGTGCCGGAGAAGCAAAGCTGCACAAACTTCACAATCAGGCGGTGGCCACATGGAGTTTACTCGCTGTGCCCTGCTTCCCCTCTGGAGTATGGTCGATCGATCTTGGCCTCTAGTACTAGTGCCAGCAGTTGACGCTCCGCTTCTTGTAAAGAGCGTGGCTCGTTGAGACTGAGGGACTGAGGCCTCTGGATTCGGCAGAACGGGGTTGGGAAAACACACAAGTTGTGAAAGTAATAATAGTTAGGTAGATTTCCTTCTGCTCCTACAAACACCTCAGTGCTCGCGCCGGCCTGCAGGTTTAGAATACGCAGAGATCGGATCGCCCTCTGCTACCAACTTTTCGGACAGGCTTGTTTTGCTGAAGCTGCGATTCTCACTCTCGTAGCCGAAGTAAAGCAGGGTTGAACAAGGGCCTAGATTTCACTGGCTCGTCTGTGGTTGTGTGAAGTAGTACGGCACGCCGCCGCAATGGATGACAGCCCAGTGGAGTCCGGCACGGAAGTCGACACCAGCATCACGCTATCGCACTTGCTCGCCGAAGTCGACGAACTGCCGGTGCGAACCACGGTCGTCAGCGGTGTCGTGTGCGGCCGCGAATCTCTACCATGCCAGGATATCACTGTGCTGTACGTAGAGGAGGCGGCCATGGCGCAGTTCCGCGACGGCCACGGTCGAAGCTTCTGCGAGTCCGTGTCCCTGGATGCGTGCCGATTCAAACTGCTTCCGGAGCGCGAAGAGAACGATGACAAGACGTTTGCTACCGTGCGGCATGTCATGCGTCGCACGAACTACCTACCGAACATGGTGCGCGCACTGAGCGGCTATGGCCTGGATGATGTCGGCAGCGAAGAGGCCGTGGAGCCGAACGACGTGTTCGAAGTGGGCACGGCCAGACTCGAACGGTGTGGCGTGGAGTGTGTGCTGTGGTTTCGCGTCAACAACATTGGAGGTGACGATGCTGGCGCTGTTCAGTCGGCGACGTCGTCATTTTCATCCCCGAGTCGCGAGCCCATCACCATACCTCTGGATGCGGACTGTGAGTTTCACACGTCGGTGGACGAACGCCTGCACCGGCTACAGGATGTGATGGGAATGGTGAAGAAAGGTCTTCTGCAGTTGCCTGTCCGATTGGAAGTGGCCAGCACCTCCACCTTTGGCCTGGCTTCGCTACCCGCCACACTGGTCGGCCGCAAGTTCACCATCACTGGCCTGCCGACGCGGCGAAGCGTCATAGCAACGGACGGTGGCGACGTGTTTCGTATTCCGGAGGAGCTGTGCGATACGGTGCGGGTGGCCGACGTCCTCCTGGACACGGAATACAGCATGACGTTGCGCAACGTCATGGCGCTGTCACGGTGCCTGGACGGAGATCGCATTCGCACCGTTGGCCCACCCGAGCCGGCTTCCATCAGCGCGCTAACCCAGGCCAATACGGCCATGCCGATCGCATCGTCATCATCAGCAGCAGCCGGCACAGGGCTCGGTGGACCGATGATGTCGCGTCACACGGCCACACAGATCATCCTGTCGCCGCAGCACTTCCGACAGCGCCTGACCAGCCAGTCACTGCGGCAGCTGAGAGCGTCGCGATCGAGCGTGACGCGCACCAGGAGCGATGGACACATGTTGCACCGCCGCACACAACAACAACTGCAGCAGCGCCTGTCGATGAACGAAGACGACGAAGGCTACGTACCTCACATGGCGGTGACGGCAAGCGTTTCCGCCAGCGACTCACCCGTCGAGTACTGCACCGTGCCGGAGAGAAAGCCGTCGACGGGTGGCTCGGGGGGTGTTCGCCGGACTGTATCAAACGCCGACGTGAACTCAGTGCGACCCGCGGCGAATCTACCGCGATACACGCCAACGCCGGTTCACACGGGCGGCGAGCGTAAGCGTGCGGACGCGTACGAGGACGTGGACCAGGTGCGCTACGGGTACAGCTTCCTACGACCGGGGGAGGACCGCCGTGCCCCGGATTCTCGACGCAGCAGCAGCAATACGTCTCGGGCCGTGGAGAGCGGCTTCGATGACCAGAACTACGCGCTCATGCCGTCAGCTGCTCATCGCAGCAGCGGCGACAGTGATGATGACGTTGTGTCCCCTCAGAATGGCGGAGCGGCTGACGGTGCACATGCCACTAACCTGTACAGCAACGGACCTCGCTCCCGGGACGCGACGCACGAGCACGTCTCACTTGCGCCCAGAGTGCCGCTCAAGAAGCACAAAAGCGGCAGCTCGCTGATGGCGCACTCGACCGGGACTGGCACATCTACTAGTAGTGAACACATCTATCAAGTAAGTACGGTTTGTGTGCACAATGAAGCAGTTTGTGTGCACAATGAAGCAGTGTGTGTGCACAATGAAGCAGTTTGTGTGCACAATGAAGCAGTTTGTGTGCACAATGAAGCAGTTTGTGTGCACAATGAAGCAGTTTGTGTGCACAATGAAGCAGTTTGTGTGCACAATGAAGCAGTTTGTGTGCACAATGAAGCAGTTTGTGTGCACAATGAAGCAGTTTGTGTGCACAATGAAGCAGTGTGTGTGCACAATGAAGCAGTTTGTGTGCACAATGAAGCAGTTTGTGTGCACAATGAAGCAGTTTGTGTGCACAATGAAGCAGTTTGTGTGCACAATGAAGCAGTTTGTGTGCACAATGAAGCAGTTTGTGTGCACAATGAAGCAGTGTGTGTGCACAATGAAGCAGTTTGTGTGCACAATGAAGCAGTTTGTGTGCACAATGAAGCAGTGTGTGTGCACAATGAAGCAGTTTGTGTGCACAATGAAGCAGTGCAGTAAAGAGTACCCTGGTATGGTGGTTACTTTAAATTGAGAAAATTTAGGTGCTCGTACTGCTCTTCTCTCTCCGAAACTCAACACTTGCTAGCCAGATACGAAAGACAGAAAGAAATATTGAGTTTCGCAGAGAAAAGAGTAGTACGAGGCATGTGGCCTCTAATTTCCTAATATTTGATGGTGTGTATATTGTAATGTCACATGCACGAGTGTCCGTTCTTTCACCGTCCGCCAAATGTTCCGAATCCTCGGAATGGTGAGAAGGCAAGAATCGAACACATTGATTCAGGCGGTCTCAATCCAGCTGAGGTGCCGCCGGCCTAATTGCACAGCCGCCACGCTCCCCAGTGTGGCAGTAGAGAGGCTTGAACTGAGTGCTCGTGTTTGTGTGTGTGTTCTTGTGTTCGATAACGGGGACACTCGGATATGGTCGGTTAATTAATACAGTGAAATCTATCTAAGACGACCGCTCAAGGGACCTTCACAATGTGGTCTCCTTATCCAGGGTCATTTGACTGGAAATAGCATCCCTTGGTCCTGGTTGCAAGTGGTCTTCTGGGACAGGTGGTCGCCTTATTAGAGTGGTCGCCTTGACAGGTTTTACTGGAGTAGAAGTCGGTCGTGCATGAGACGGCATGTGATTGTGTGCACGTCCTCTGTCTATTGCTATCACTGTCTCGCGTTTATCTCCACACTCATACCTCGGTTATCCGTACCCGGAACTTACGGGCACTTCGGTCTACCGGGCACCCTTTGGGCGAGTTTCAGTGGAAATACTTCTACTCTTTTGTCACTTTTTTGTGGAAATAGTGACGTCATTATGCCATTCCCCCATGAAAATGTATGTGATTCGGAGTTAGGGACATTTCAAAGTTACGGGCAGTGCCCAGTCCCGGACCGCCCGGATAAACGAGGCATGAATGTACTCGAATATGCTCGGTTAATGGTAGAAGTCGAATGTTTTTTTTTTGTTTTTTTTTACTGAATACCACAGTACCATCAGATGCTGCACAGCGGGGGCGGTGGCATATTGGATGGAAGTGGGGGCGGGGCAAAAGTAACTCCTCCGACCAAAGGTCTCGGAATCATTGTTACTCCTGTGCGCCGATACATAGGAGAAAAGAAACATGTGCATCCAAGAGGGGAGCACCGGCTTTGCAAACGATAATGGGGAGAATTTGAGATTGGGATAGGACAAAAACAATAGTAAAAGCAGTGCACCGTAGGAAGATGGAGTGAACTGATAATCGGATTTTAAGGCTGAGCGAAGGGGATCAAAGAGGGGTAGAAGGGAGCTGGAGTGCGGTCAGTATAATTAGGCTGGTGTGTTGGCGGAGATCATAGCCTGTCTGTGGCCCACTCCCACTTGTACATGTGCATTGGACGGCATAGGATTCTGTACACGTCCCATGTCTATCTCCATCATTGTCTCATGCCTACCTCTGCTTCTCTTTGCTTTACGTACAGACACCGACAAGCAGTCGTCCGCCCTCACCAGCACGTTTGTCCCTTCGGAGCCGAGGCTCGTTCAAGCAGCAGCATGCCGAAAACCTCTACTCCACGCCGACATCGTCACCATTGCCCATGCGCAAAAGCCATTCGCAACCGCAGCTTGCGCAGCTGTCTGTTACGCCGGCCGGCAAGCAGTGCAATGATGACGTCATTGACCCGCCGCTCTACGTCAACGGAGGCGCTGCGGAGGCGGACACGGCAGCAGAGGTACTGCAGACCAAGAAGCCCATGCCCAAGCCACGGCGTAGCTTGACCACACGAGCACTCAACACGGTCGCTGTTCGCAGTCCGGAGAAACCCTGCAGCTCCATGACGAGTCCCGGGCGCAGTGCCGCTGGCAATAGTGCCACGCTGGGCCCGCAAAAGCCGCCGCGAAAGGCCAAAACGCCGTCCGAAACAAACACGCTGAGCCCGACCTCACCGCTTTACACGAACATTCCCGATACATCCGGCGGCGGAGCGGGCAGTGGATACGTGCAGCTTGCGAATGTGCAGCAGATTTCCGAGGACCTGGAACGCACCAAGGCGGCACTGGAGCTGTCACAGTCGGAGGTACAGTCACTGCAGGTGGAGTTGAGCGCGTACAAGGACCAGTGCTACTGCATGAACGTAGAGCGGCGTGTGCAGGAGAGCTACGAGTTCACAATCCCACGAAACCTGCCCAAGAGCAGCTCTCAGTTCATAGGCCGCGACTCAACAGTATAGCGCGTTGCCTGGGAATAAGGACGTTGGTTGAACAATGCAACAAACAGCTTGACATTAACTAGGATGATCCCTTTCTGGACTTTCTGGAGTGTGTCTACTGCGGTAGCTGTTATAGTCTTGAAAACAGTTCTGAGCTGCTAGTGGAGTTCCAGCTCTCTGAATCAATGCAAGTTGTACTGCGCCTGACCGAGTTCTCTCTCTCTCTCTCTCTCTCTCTCTCTCTCTCTCTCTCTCTCTGTGTCTATCTATCTATCTCTCTCTCTCTCTCTCTCTCCCCCCCCCCCCCCCCCCCCAATGGATGAGCAAATTGATTCGGGTATATTGATTACTCTCCCAGCAACACTGCTGCTCGAGGTCCCACAAGTTCGTGCCTTTTTCTAAACCTGGCTGCATATACAAAATATTATTTACAGATTGACTTGCCCCTGTATGTGAGCAGTGTATCCCACCCACATGCCAGTCTAGATTGTCTTGCTGCCATTTCCACAGCTGTTGAATCCGCGTCACATTGCTATTTTCATTTCGCGAGCGCGATGATCCCTTGATGCGCATGAATGTGCTGGCCCGCCGGTCATGCACGAGATTCTCTTTTATCATTGTAATTCACGGCATTGACCTTCAGTATTCATGGGCCGTGCTGCATTATCAATTTTCTATTGATTTCACACGGCATACATTGGTGGGCTGGATTTCTGATGAAGGAAATAGTACACATTAAGTACTGACATCAGAAGTAATACATCTTACGACTACATGCAGCGCATAATCTTCAAACTATTTGTTATGAAAGTGCCAAAATGTTACATGTTATCCGTAGTTTCTGTCCAACACTAACAGTTCTAAGTAAAATGTTGTGTAGTCAGAAGGTGCAACAGCTAGTACAATGCTGACTGATGTGATACCGAGTCATTCAACGACCTGATCCTATTGGTCCCTTATTTTAAATTTAACCCTTGGCTCTCCATCCGAGTCTTATTTGTTATGGCTTTTGCAATTCAGTGTATATGTAAAGGTGGTTCTTGGTTGGTGGTCGGTGATCGGCCTTCACCTGGGTTGGTGAACTTGGTGGGATGGTGGTATTGCTGCTGCTAAAACGTGTTTTATCGAACGCACAAACCAATGCTGCTGCTGCAGCTGTTGTTCTTGTTGTTGGCGGAATGCAATGATTATCGTAGTGTCTTGTATTAAAGCCTGTCTCATAATTATTATTATTCCGTTAGAAGCCTGTTTTGAATAGAATCCTGATTCTCAAGACACACTGTCGGCACATAAGCCTGGTTTTAGTGTTGACATACATAGAAATACCTGGTTTAAATAGAAGCCTGATGTGAATAGAAGCCTAGCCTTGACATTGGCTACTACAGGAATAAGCCCGGCTTTAATACGCGACATTTCAGGTATGTACAAATCCTCTGTCGGTATTATGGCACAGCATATGCATGGTACATGTACCATGCAATGACCTATAACAAGAACTGCTGTAAACTTCGAGAATATTTTGGTACATGTGTGACCCTCCCTAACCGTCCATATGCACAGTGCTTTCGTGCCTACATGTACACACTGTCCACCATGCTCTCTGTTCATAGAGACTGGTTTGGAACACACGTTGATTTCTTAATGCAACCTCTGCATGATGATACAAATGTACCGTATACAAAAGTCAGAAGTGTGCAACGCATGATAGATTTACAGTGCTGCTTTCACCGGAGGATGCATCTAGTGTGCTGACAGTGCTCAACACCGTGGAGGCAGAGCGTAATGTGCTGCTTTTGCAGTGCTCAACACCGCGGAGGCAGAGCGTAATGTGCTGCCTTTGCAGTGCTCAACGCCGCGGAGGCAGAGCGTAATGTGCTGCTTTTGCAGTGCTCAACACCGCGGAGGCAGAGCGTAATGTGCTGCTTTTGCAGTGCTCAACACCGCGGAGGCAGAGCGTAATGTGCTGCTTTTATGTAACATCAAGAGTAGTGCGCAGCCCCAGTTGCTTCGGCCCGTGGCGGAATTCCTTGTTGACGTCACCTTTTCTGAAGATCATGAATCATACCGTACAGGGCATGCACTGCGAGCGTGTGGCTCCTTGAAATTAGCCGGGTTTCACGAAACTTTGCACTGAAAGTACGATAAAAAGCTACAGCAGGGAGAAATGGTTAAAGATTGTTTCGAAAGTGACAAATGCACCACCTCCCACTAGGTGCGTCCAGGGCATGCCTCGCGCGTGATTGATGTCCCTCTTTACCCCACCACTTTATAAATCAGCACAATTTTCAGTAGCCAAAATAACCTCCTCACGCACATTGCAGCCGAAAATCACCGTAAAGTTTTGTTAATCCAGCACCCTCCCTAATCCAGCAGAATTTCTTTAGCACAAATGGTGCCGGATTATAATGGGACCACTGTATGCTTATGCCACACTTTTAGGAAAGCATGCCGGGGGTTTCACTGTGTCGGACGCCTGTCCCGTGACGTTGCTGCAGTGGAACGCGTTCCCGGTCGCCGGTGGCAACG